CCAGATGACATCCCGGCCAAAAAGGAAGGAGTTGGCAAGCCAGCCTTATGTACAGGGGTCAGGCGGAGGAAACTGTGCATCTTGCTTTGGACGGCCCTAGCGAGGAGAGGGGGAGTAGACCATGAACTTGCCTCCACTATAGTCGCACTCTTGGTTAGTAGTATAGAGGACTCAGGCACAACGGTTTGGGAGTCTTTTAAGGGGGCGGGTACCGGGGCTGGAGAGTATTCTGAGCCATGATCAGAATTGAACCGAACGAAGAGTCCTGTGGTAGTATCCTTATTCAAGCCACATGTGGCTGAACAGCCTCTCCCAATTAGGAAACCTCTCACCAAAACCTCCACTTCTTTCATCGTGGCAACAGTCACGTCAGTGACCGTTTGCTGAACCAAATCATCAAACTGTAGGTTCACCGCATTTTGACACCAGTGACAGTAGTGAAACTCTAGGAAACTAAAGTTCCCTTTGAGTGCGACATATGACCGTGTAGTTGTGAGGATGAGGCCACAGTCAGCCTCAGTAGCAGGGGCAAGAGACCAAGCTGCACAGGTTGTCTCAAGCGAGGAGGAGGAGTTGGAGTCGAATCGAACAGGAGACAACATCCTCGAAGGGGGGAGAGAATCCGTAGAGGAGAAGGCTGTTGAAGATGCCATCCTTGCCCAAACTATATTCAGTGATTATCGGGACCAGGCCACGGATGTCTCACACTGAAGTATCTTCTAAGTGAGAACAACTACATCTAACCGACTGCCCGAAACAAAAAATACAACCAAGTAACAGCAGATGAAGTATTTATCGCGAGCAAAATAAGGTAAAGTATTGGTTATACTCACTTCCAACACGGAGTGCAAGAAGTAGGAAAAGTACTTATAATAAAGCGTAAAGAACCTATCCTCCTTAGCCACATTGGCCTCCTTATATAGTGTTCTTCCCACCCATAGTCATGTGACCCAAAGTAGTCACATGTGCAAAACCAAATCATAACAAACTAGTCATGTGACCAAAGTGGTCACATGCTCAAAACCCATGACCTCATAGCGAGGTCATGTGCAAAAACTCATAAACCAATCATAACACAATAAACACATCATATGACTCGATTGAGTCATATGCGTGAAACCCATAACCTCATAATGAGGTCATGTGCGAAACATAAATCATATGTGCAAGGCATACCTACAAGGCACACCTGCAAGGCATATTCATCAGGCGCATGTCCTATAACTCATATTTGAGCCATGTGCGAAAGCATCACTAATCCTATACATAACAAATTATATGACTCAAATGAGTCATATGTGTGAAACAATAACATACTTGTAACTCATAACCACGTGTCACGTGAAAACCCTTTCCTTGCCAAGCCACATTCATGACATCTTTGCTCTTTGTGATATTGACTATACCTATAATTAACTCTTTGCTTTAAGAAGTCAGTCAGTAGTGGAACTAAAGGTATAGTTACTTTACTCTTTATTCTCAGGTTTATTATATTCAGATAACAGGATTAGTCTATGAACACTACTGTATTAGTCAAGTTGCCATAATTCCCCTTTGGGTAAATAAAAAATTGCAAAGGATTTACTACTCTCTTGCAGCTATTTCCAGCTGGGCACGAGAGTGGTATTTGTCGAGACTCAGATATACTTGAGTTATCGGGGTTGATATCTCTATATCCAAGGAGCAATATCACTACCAGAAGAACTAGGATAATTGGATCTCACGCTAAGATGTCTAGAATTTCCTTTATTCAATCAAGGCGGGAGAGGGTCTCTGGGCTAGACTCCAGCCAGCCAGACTTCAATAAGTGGTTGTTATGGATAGGTCTACAGAGCTCATTCAAGGACAGCTTCTTTGGGCAGTGTTCTGCGATCTGGTAGAAGCGCTGCTATGAGAAGAACGATATCGGAGACCTCAAAGCCCTCAAGTTGGCCAAGTTATACTCACTACTTGTCGACGCACTAAAGCAGGGTATGAGCCTCGGGCCTAAAATGAGGGATGACATCAGGAAAAAGTTTGGTAGGGTGCCAACTCCTGCTTACAAGGAAAATAGCACGGGAGTCCGTGCTGGGGGAAACCACGTAATAGACCAGTTGCTCAAAATCCAAAGAAAATAAATACAGTGAAGAAACTGTCTTTCAGCTCAACCAAGACAAATGAAAGCAAAAAATGACCAATCCTGTAAGGAAAGACAACTCCAATATATTAGTGTGAGGTTCATTTATTCCAGTTACTACAGTACTCAATTATGATCATCCCCGACCGCTCAGGATAGCAGTGTTTGGCTATACTCTGTATAATATGTTTCAGGGTTGACTTCTTCCCGCTATAACAATAGCCTCACTCCTGCCTTACTGGCATTCCAGGTCACCTATGCGAGCATTGTTCAGCCAGTTTTACTTGTACTATTAGGATTGACATTTTCCTGCCCTAACAGTAGTTTTACCACTCCTTTACGCCCATTATTAGCAGCTCACAAAAGCAGTATTTGGCCATACTCTGGATTCCAGAGACCTTGGTTAATATCTTTCCTAGTTAAAAGCTTTGCGGCATACAAACTACCCTCAGTTACAGTATTGGAAGAGTTCATAGACTAATCCTGAGAGCTAAGTACTGGGAGCTAGCAAGTAGTATTTAACTGCCAGCCCAGTAGTGGTAAAACCTCACTAGGACTTGCGGATCAGATAGAATGTAACTATTGAATACTTCTTGCCTGCTATAAGTATCTGTAATGATCCCTCCTTGGATAGTTAGTTCTTGGAAATGGGGAACGATACTTCTCTTCTTTCTCTGTTTCTTTCCTTAGTCTTACAATAGCACTAGGCCTCTGCCTACGTTACCGATAGTACAAGACCTTTGTCTTCTATCGGGAACACCTATTGTAAGCTTTCTCTAACTCTTCTTCGTGAAGGACTTTCCTTGGCATTACGATAATGTTGCAATAAAGATAAAGATTGTAAAGGTGTTTTATATTTGTTAAAGTAATAAGTAGGAAAAGTACTTAGAACAAAGTATGAAGAACCTATCCTCCTTGGCCACATCGACCTCCTTATATAGTGTTCTTCCCGCCCATAATCATGTGACCAAAAGTGGTCACATGCGTAAAACCAAATCATAACAAACCAATCATGTGACCAAAGTGGTCACATTCTCAAAACCCATGACCTCATAGCAAGATCATGTGCAAAAACTCATAAACCAATCATAACAAAATAAACAAATCATATGACTCGATTGAGTCATATGCGTGAGACTCATAACATCATAACAAGGTTATGTGCGAAACATAAATCATATGCGCAAGGCATACCTGCAAGGCATACTCGCAAGGCATACTCGTCAGGCCCACATCCCATGACTCATATTCAAGTTATGTGCAAAATATCACAAATTATAACATACTAAATCATATGACCCAAATCGGTCATATGCGTAAAACAATAACATACCTATGACTCATAATCATGAGTCATGTGAAAACCTTTTCCGTGCCAAGCCACATTCGTGACAGTATCACATTTATGAAACCAATTATTGTTAGCTCTACTAACAATATATAGCCAGAATATACTCAAAGTGATCTTAAAGTTACAGGATCTACTGTGTATAAACTAGTGCTCGTATTACCCTATAATTCAGACCTCCATTTCAATATTCACATGGATAACTATTTTCCATCAATTCTACTATTTGAAAAGCTTCACGATATTGGAATTGGGACATGTGGTACTGCAAGAGTTTGCAAAACAGCATTTCCTCCTAACCTTCATGATAATTAATTAAGTATTCCATAGAACGAGATTTCTGGAGTACCAGCTGGCACTGCTGGAAAGGTTTTGACTATCCAATGGCAAGATCAAAGCACAGTTTATTTCCTTTCAATAATATATAGATTGGAAGACCAAGTTACTCTACTACAAAAAGGCCTCAAGATACAAGCAGTAATGGGCCAGCAATTTGTTGCGTATTCAGATCAACAGAGCGTATGAACATCACAAAACAGGTAGTTACAAATGACTATAATCAATACAAAGTTGGGGTAGATGTTGTGGACCAATACAGAAGCTACTACTTTACTCAGCTAAAGTGTTTATGCAACTGGCTTCCAATCTTTTTTTGGCTTCTATATACGATAGTAATTAATGTATATCTACTCTTACAACGCATTTCTACTTCCTATAGACCTCCTACTGGATCTCAATTATTTCGCTTAAGACTTGCGCAATCGATCATTTCTACCTATGAGCCAAAGCAGCTAAAACCAAGAAAATCCCTCTACACCCGCACCTCCTCACATCTCCGATTCCCCAAGCAGCAGCAGAAAACAACACTTTCCCGCCCACTTAGTAGCATACAGGAACACAAATTTATTCATTTTGGAAAAAGACTAGAGTGTACTCAGTGTAGGTTTATATTAAGAAATATGAACACAAAAGGCCAGCATGCGCCAACTACTTGCTACGGCTGTCATGGTCCTGGTTGTGGGTTTTCTCTTTGCGAGAACTGCTACGATTCACGCCATAAGCACCTTTCTATCTCCTAGTAACTCTTTTTATTTTCTCTTCATTTATTTTCTCTTCATTTATTGTTTTGTATTTCGACAAATTTCACCTATTGTGTATTCTACTCGCTAACTATGTCGGGGTCTTTTTTGATATCGCCAACCCTCTTACTAATCTGCCAAGCATCTAAATCAGGTTTAGTGTGCCCGGTCGCGAATTTGACTGTTTCAGACACCCCAAGGGATAGTAGAGGTTTGCGCCTATATAAGCAAATAAATTCTAGGATTTAACAAAAAAATAGTACGAGTATGATACCAGCACGTACCGTACCCGAGTAGTTTAATTACGATACCGTTAGTGTGCCCTTATCCCGCTCCATCCCTCCGATCTGCTGAGGCCCCACGTGTGTTGGAGCCGCACAGGGATAAACCCTCTTCCCATCAGCGCCCACGAGAACCTTGCCTCTCAAACGAACCCCACCACTACAGTAGGATAATACTGGTACTCTCATTTCATACCAAAAAAAGCGCATTTCCTCATTCCGCAAATCCTTAGAATCTCGAAGAGGGCTCCAGTGCCATCATGGTTTACTACTTCACCTCTAATATTGTAGATCCTCCAGCATTCATCTATGTCGGCAAAGACAAAGTCGAGAGTACTCAGCTTCCCCGCCTCCAGAGTAATACGTTCAAGCTAGCTAACTAAACATAGATGAGGAGTTGATCAAGTATGGGTTCAAGGAAGATATATGGTAAGTACGAAATATTCTTGTTTCCCCGCCTTGGCTAAGCTAAGCTAACGCTGAAGTCTAGGGTTCATTGATCATCACCTCTCTCCAAGTCCGGCTCCACAAGTGCACTAATCGAGTCCTCAAGTTTCACGCAGACAATCTCTCATCGGCACACATATACCTTCGCCTCCCGGAAGGCAGCGACTGGGAGAATATTCCACAGGACCTCCTAACCGATTGTACACAGCTCACAAAAGCCAACTCCATTGAAGGTTTGTGAGTCCCGCTCCCGCCTTCGTACCTTATCTTCTACAACTAGAAGGAAGCTAAGACTGGCTTATAGGAAACAAGAAGGATAACGTCAATGTTGTCTACACCCCCTGGTCAAACCTCAAGAAAGATGGTAGCATGGCCGTCGGACAAGTTGGATTCAAAGACCAACGCAAAGTAAAAAAGATTCTGGTCGAGACCCGAACCAACGCCATCGTCAACCGGCTGAATAAGACGAAAGAGGAGCGGTTCCCAGACCTAGCAGAGGAGAAGGAGGAGCGGGAACGGGAAATTCGGAACCAGGAGAAGAAGGCGATGCTTGAGCGGGTAAGAAGAATTTCCCACCACTACCATCGCCCACTACCCACCGCCATAATGGGCACACCATGCATGCGGGTAGGACAATTGCTGATTATAAATAAACAACGCAGAAAAAAGAAGAGGCGAGAGTCGCAAAGGAACACAAGGAGAAAGCTTGGCAGAAGGACCATGCTTACGATGACGTCTTTACTGAGTATGCGCTGGAAGCAAGCTCGAACCAGAATAGGGATGCAGCGTTCTATGATGATTTCTTGTAAATATAAGAGTCGTATTGGAACATATTCTCAATTCTAATGATCCATTTCAAAGCCATTTCCCCTCATCAGTTTGTCTACAAGCAGCTACAGAGCGCTTTGATCTGTCCTCCTCGCGGTCAGCATATACGCAGTGCGCGGGTATAAAGTCAGTACCGTAAATAGTTTTCTAGTTTCAACGTGACTTGTGTGTTTATTAGTACAGTAATGACGGACATATTTCCCTCGAAAGCTAGATTTCTCAGCTACCCTCGCGCTCTTAAATGCTTGTAGGGGTCACTCGTGGAGCAGTTGCAGGTGCTGCTAGAGGAAGGTGTTGTGCTTACAAATACTTACCCGTTGATGGGAACACAAAGGCAATGGGCAAAACGCGACAGGACTTGGTGGAGACGAACACACCGATGTCCAATAGTAGTGTTACTGTACTGTACGAGATCCCTCCCGTCCGTCGCACACCGTCGATCGCCAATCTTGGCTTTAGTGATTTTGTGCGACTCTTATCTCCCACATTCACCTACTCTCGGTGGAGGGGGGTGGCAGGATCACTTCTCACTCCTGCTACATGTAGTTCCGAGTGACCTTTTATGAGAATTCCTCCTTCCATTATCAACCCTTGTGCAACAGTAGATAACCTACAGTACAGCACATCCAGCGTGCACCGACAGATGCCTATTGTCCACCCGCCAGCTGTTGAAATCCCGTCTTCACCCTCTCTTCCCTCGCTATTTATTTATTTATTTATATAAACCTTTAACCTACCATCTCCAATTGTCAGCATCGCTATCGCCATCACCAACCCCAAGGAGTACAATAATATCAATAACAAGGAAGGAAGGAAGCGCAATGTCGACTACGATCCCATCTACTACAACCATAGCTTCCCTCCCGGTGGAAATCCACGCTCAGATACTCCGGTCACTGCCTTGCTTCCGCGACGTGCATGATGCAATCCTCGCCTCCCGACTCTTCCACAATGCGTGGGTGTCGGGCCAGAATGGCATTATTAACGCCATAGCACGAGAAACCATCCAGCCATTGGAACCTCTGGTAAGGTTATACCTTGCAAGGGAGCAGCAGAAGTTTGAAGTATCCGTGGGTTCGTTCCCCAACCACCCTCTCTCTCCATCTTCATCTCCGTCCCTCAATCCCAAGCCATAGCTAACTACCGTACCCATCCGTACTAGACGGAGCCACTAACCACCGCCTAACCCTACAAACCATAACCAACATCCGCGAATATATTAAAGCAGCAGCAACGCAGTACAATGCTATGGTCTCTACCCCCCTGCTTAGGCGCAACTATCGCATCGGGGAGGGGCCGGAACCGCCCCCGCGCACACCATGCGCTCTAGAGCTCGACCTCTTCACAATGACTTACCTCACCATGAAGTTGATAGAAGCCTACCCGCCAAACCTCATCGCGCCGCTGCTCTCGCGCACCGCAACAATGGACCTGCTGCGCATCCGACAGCTGCAGAAGCATATGTACGCACGCGGCCCACCCGAAGATGATTATGGCGGCGACAGGGGCGGGCTGGTGCAGAGAGAGTTCATGGCGAGGCTGCCTCGTGGGAGCGGTATTTGGGAGGCCATGGCGGGGAGGATGATTGGCGGGGAGCCATTCGCCCTGTGGAGGGAGGGGCAGGAACAGGTTAGGGGGCTTGAACGAGCGATGAAGGAAGGTAAGTTTCCGTGGGATGCGGGTGCCTCGGGGGCGGTAGAGGTCGTGCGGGGATCCGGTGGGGTGAATGGTTTTACTGGCGTGCAGACGGCTGGCGGGTGCAGTGGGATTATCGGTTTTTATAGGTACGTTTAACCACTTCTAGTGGGGTTATTTTCCTTTTCCTTTTCCTTCTTTTCTTTGAGTAGGGGCTAACTGCCGAGCTAGGTGGCAGTAATTTCTTTTGTGGTTGATGATATGGTATGCTATGTTACGGGGACCACAGAATACCAGCATAATACTACCTCCCTCCAGTAACATCTCTCACTTGTATCCGCAAAGACACTGCAGAATTTGACAAACCTTCTGTTGCCCGTTAGACAAAGCTGTTGTTGAGTTTTTTGTTTTTGCCTTGAATGTACAACTGATACTTGAAATGTACATCAAAAGCCCCTTCCCACAGTGCATTCACTCGAGTCTCCCATGGAAAAAGATGACAAAATTATTGATTGGGTGGGGGGGATTTGGTATAAAACTTGAGAGAAAAGACAAGTGCTATGCACAAAGAAAAGATATATAGAAAACCCCCGCCGCAGATGGCATTTCCATGAATCAAACAACGAACACATACATACCCATTGCGCCGTGACGAAGAAAAAAGTCCACCCAACCTGTCATTGCATTTCACGTGACCCATACAGCTCATCAATCAGATCCCTTTATACCACCCCATTGGTCGCTCACTCATCTTCGTCGCTGCTCTCTTCCTCCTCATCGTCCGACTCTTCGGCTTCGGCACGGGCCTCCGCTTCCTCCATCTGCCTTTTCAGCTCCCACATCTCTTTGCGAATCTTCTCGTCCCTAGCCATCCTTAATCTCTCCACTTCATCTACACCCCCTGCCTTCTTAAGCTTACCCTCCTCCACAAACTCTCCGAGCTCCTTCTGGAATTCAGGGACCCTGCCTTCCAACTCTTTCTGTCTAGCCTTTTCCGCCCTCTCAATCGCTTCCAGCCTGCCCTCATGATTTGGCTGTAGGGCGCGCACCTCACTAAGCACACTGTCCTTAGCTTCGGTAGGGTCAAGTTGATCATCTGGATGCACCATTCCCATGGGGAAACCCCTGCTAGCGGATCTCATGGCTCCGCCCGCGCCATTGGCCTTGAACTGTGTCTCTGTGCATTGCTCAACCAGCTGGAATGTCTGCCCTGCTTTGTCAAGATCGTCCTGCAGGTCTTCAATAAGGTTCTCTTGCATGTTGAAGAAATCCTGTTCTTGGCAGACGAGCTCAACCTCCTTCTCCCAGACCTTGCGGAAAACAGGTTTCTCTCTCTTGATGTATTCAGCCATCTTTTTGAGCTCTGTTCTGGCTTGCGCAATTTCTTTCTTCACTTGGTTCAGATTGCGTGCCAAAGGACGGACGCCTCGTTGAACCACGTCCTTCCGCAGATCTTCGACGGTATCCTGAAGGTCGTCGACACGGTTAACTAGAGCATCTGCATCATTGGCCAAGGTTTTTTTGCCGGCCTCAACGTAGGCACGACCCTCGTTAGGGCCGAGGGTTGGGTTACTGGCTACCGCCTTGACCGAACCAGCCTTGATCTTGATAGTAGACATTGAAGTATTGATATCGGCAACAAATGTAGAATAAACCTGTCGAAGGACAGCCAAATCCTTGCGAAGGTCCCGAATTTCGCCAAGTTGTGCCGTGTTGTCCTGCTTTGCCGAAGACGCTGAGGAGGGGTCCGGCAGCGATTGGGGTTGCGACATGAGAATCGGGGTCGTCACAGGGGGCGCAACTGAGAGTTCTGCTATCTTCTTAGCCGCCTCCTCTTGTCTCTCAGCTACTCTCTGAATTTGAAGTCCTTGGCCGTCAACTGATCCCCGTAATCCCTCTAACAATTTTCTGAGGTTGCCCATTCCATCATCAATATGTCTTTTGACCTCATCCAATACCTCAACATTCAAACACAATACGGCTCTATCCTTAACGTCTCTGGTATCCTCAAGCTCATATCGCACACCAGAGACCGGATCTTGTAGATAGATTTCCGGGAAGTCCTCCCCCGAAGGTGGGTTATAGTTGAATTTGGATATAAATAGTAGCCTAAGGGAGGTAATTGACAATTCATCCAAACCATCGGCAAGGTATACCTTTTTGATGGAGCGGCCAAGTTGAAGAAAAAGAGTGAGGTCTTTGCCCGGTGGCGGACTGGAAGAATCTCGCCTGTTGTCAGGCTTCTGTGAGCTTGCCTGAATCGCACCCGAAACAGCCTTGGTAGGAATCATGGCCTTCATTTCACCCTTTTGGGGTGTTGGGGGAGGGGACGTGTCCATATCAACTTTAATTGCGGGCTTCCCCTTGATGACCTCATTGTCTTTCGCAGGAACAGCTGGTGCCTCTTTCTCAATCTCTTTAATGGCTGGCGATGAGAGGTCGGTTTCTCGCTCTTCTGATATACGATTTACATTTCTCATTGGAGAAGTCTCATCGCTCCGAACTGATTTTGGTTGATAGGGACGTCTTACTCGAACAGCGTCCAGTGATTCCTTCGATTCCCGATTTCGAGGGACTGCGGAAGGGTTGGAAGGCAGCATTGGTACACCGCCTGGCGAAGTCCCTGTAAGCTTCGCAATTTGATATGCTGAATAGCGACGGGAGGCCCTTCTCTGAAGAGGGTCTTCCCGCTGCAAAGCGGCTAGAGCATCCTGGGCGGGCGGTGGAGGTGGTGGGGGTGGTGGGGGTGGCGGAGGGGGAAAGGTTTGGGCGGGGAAATCCGGCATAGAAACAGGTGGCCCATTGATTGTGGGCTTGTTATAAGAATCTACCGAATCGTTTGTTATGGGGGGCGAAGCCAGATTTGAACTGATAGATGCGTTGTGGTTGTGAGAGCTTCGCACAGAAGACGTCGACGTAGAACCCTTCGCTGAAGTCGGGTACGGAGGTGTCGGCGAAGGGCCCCTTTGATTTTGTCCCCCACTCGGAAGCGACGAAGAACGCGGAGGAGCAACCTCCTCTAAAGAATCGCCACTTCTTGTCCTGGGGGGAGGTGCTGGCTGAGATGGAAGCCCTCCCTCAGAAGGCGGACCCCCAGAGGATCCACCGGATTCCCTTGTATTTTTCTGTCGCAGTTTTTGTTGTTTCCGTTTAAGACCGTGTAAAAGATTAATGATAATCTCTCTGATTCGCGGCAGATAAACATCCAAGCTTTGCGGACTAGCGTCTTGACTCAGAGTGCTCTCCAGTATCGTTCTTAAGGCATCTGGGACGTTTCCAAGGTCTGCCGTCTCAACTCCTATGGCTGTGAATGCTCGGCAAGCCAGATTAAACTCGGAGCCGAGGCGAACGTAAACATCGGATACCTCAGCCTCGGTGGCCTGTTGCCGCGACCAGGCGGTGAGAGTTTCGAGTAGCTGTTTAGTCGCAATGAGAAGCTGAGTTACAGATTTCTCAATGGTCGACAGATGCTGGGAGGGCTTTAACTGCAGTTAGCAAGATATGTGGCGAATACCGAAGCATAAAAGCGCTCGCTACGTAGCAAGTGAACGGAATGTATGTATAGGCGGGCGGGCGCCTCAGTTGAAACTCGGAGGTAGGAAGCGGGGGAGGTGGGACTTACGCTAGTTTTGTTGCGCTGCCGAGGGCTTCTCGCAGAACCGCCAGAGTTTTGGGACGACATTGTCGAGGAGTTAAAAGCGGAATATTGGGATGGAGTTGGAGATCTTCTGAGACCAGAACTGTGAGAATCAGATTGCATACTCCGCAAAGGTGGCCAGCTGTGATGCGTCTGGTGGGGGAGGTGGGAGAAAGGAAAGGGGGTGAACAGCGGAAGGAGGGAGGTGGGTGGGGGTTGCAGTTGGGTGGCTGGTTAGTGGGGGATCTGTTGCGGTGGTGAGTGGGACTCGGTGACATAGTGCCGGGTTTGGGTCCATGTTTGCTGCTGAAATGGGTGTTCTGATCCCGTGCTGTAGGATACGGTAGCCGTACTGCACACTGCCTTCCCTTGTGAACCCTTACTATGCACTAGTACTGTACGACATCATACTGGTATGGGTATCAATGTATCATATCATATCACACGGGCACTGCTATTGTTGTCAGGGTACACAAGAGGAAAAGGTACCATGTTAATTAATATACGAGCATTATCGTCGTGCAATATTGTAATAAAGACCCTGAATGGATCTCTCTTTACCAGCAGCTCAAGGCCCTAACTAACCTTACATGAGTGAAGCCCGATTGTATGGAGTTTCATACAAAAAGTTATCAGTAACAATAAGTCACCGAAATCCTTAGAATCCCGGTAGTTGTGCAAGGTAGGGCTCGGGTACCGTACTCGAGCACCAGCACCGTATTACTCGAGTACCTGTACAGGCAATTACCGTGCCATGGTCGTATCAGGACTCGTCCCCATGCTGCTGGTTCAGCCATGCAACAACCGTGATTGACACGAGTCGAAATGTTGATAACCCTCGAGCTACAGCATCCAATTCAAAGGATCAGATCACTAGGGTTAATGCCTGTTCTACTGGGTGAGAATAAATCGCGCGAAGAGCAGCAGCAAGAACAAGGGTTATAGTGGATTTTACTGGTGGGGAATTCGAGGTGGAAATAGGGTTCCAATGAGATTGAAAAGGGCCAACCAAAACCCCCGCTAGATAACCCGTTAAATGAATAGGGAGAAGTGGGAGTGGAATGAAAAAGGGTTACTCGAGCACCCTTATTGATATGTCAGCATTTCCTCCCACTGTGAAATGCCACGAGGGTTGCATCGAATCTTCCTGAAGTTGGAAAAAATAGCTGCATCTCGGTATGGCAATACTACTGTAGTACGGTACTGTACTGGGACTGTTTAAGGGGTTAGGAGGGTAGGTAAATTCCAGCACAGGCAAGGCACTCCTGCAGGTTGAGGTTGAGTGAGCTGGACTACAGGCGGTAGACTACTCGGGTGCCGGTATGATACGATGCTCGAGTACTGAACAGTGTACTGTACTCGTACATAGCGCAGTCACGGCGTTTTTCAACCTCCTGACATCCGAGTACTGGCATCGAAGACAAGGCTTGAGGCTCATTGCAAAACTGTCGGGATTGTCTGATATTACATTACCGGTATTGTAGTTGAGGCTCACATTCTAGAGGGACGCAATGTGATCACTGAGTGATCATTGACCAGTTCCAGTTGTGTGCGCAGGGGCTCGGGGAGGAAAAAGGAAAGCATGGATGATGGAAGGAAGGAAAAACGAAAAAGTAGACCCGTGCAGCTATTTTTGGTCAGCTGCTCAAGGGACATCAATTGTTCGGTTTATGAGGCAAAAGGGTACGAAAGTGGTATTTATTTGTGCCACTTCTATGCTAAATACACTAATTTTGGTAATTCAGGGGGAATTAACCACCATATTCTTTGAGGCTTGGCATGATCATTGCCTTATCGGAACAAAATGTTGAAGTGAAAAGGGAAAAGAAAAGAAAAAATAATAATAATTATTATTATAATAGTTGTTTTGTGTGCGTTCAGAACCCATTTTTTCCCTTTCCCTCTCTTCCTTGAGAATAGTGTTTTGCTTGCTTGCTTCTTTCCTCCCCCGCGTGCTGGTAGCACTGTACGAGTACTGTACTCCCACAACATAGAAAGCCTCCTTCAAATACATTATTATTATTTTGGCACAGTACTTGTACCGTAGTTGATACTTTGCTTCAATCATCGTCCTCAATCATCAAGTTTCCTCACATGCCGTAAAAGTGACGAAAAAGAAAAGAAAGGAGAAAAATAGGCGAAAAAGTAACTTGACTTACAGTACCCTCTGTCCTTTCTTTTGCTGGGTCCTGAGACCTGACCCATTGATAACTACCTACCGGCACACTACCACTGCTACCTACCATACCATACATGCTGCACCGCATTGCTAAGGCTGCTTCTCTCTCATCGATTCTAGTCTCCCTCCTCTCCCTCCCCCTCCTCCTCTTCGTACACGTTCGCCAGGTGCTCTTCTAATTCCACTTCTAAATTTTTTCTTTTCTTTTCTTGCCGTTCATTTCATCCTTTCTTCAGGTTGGGAACTTTCCTTCGTTGTGGTTGTTTTCGGACTTTGATCAGCAAACGGAAGATCTCCTTTCCTCGCTCTTGCACTGTCTCCCTCCCCATCTCTCGTGCTCTCTTTCCCCCTCCAACATCCCCTCCACACCTTCTCCGCCGGACCTCCGACTTCTTTCTCCTCCCCTTCCCCTCCTCCGAACCCCCTTCATTACTGTCCACTGCTTGAGGGGAAAAGCAGAAAAGTCTCTGAGACTCGGCGTCTTACAGAACGTGTTTGTTGCATCCCTTCGACCCTGGTCATGCTTCCTTGCTTATTTTTTTTTTTTTCGCAATTCTAGCTTAACTCACGACACCTAATTACGAGCTCTTGCAAAACTACATTGATTCAATATGGCGACCACTGCAACAGCTCCTTCCGCAGTGACCAATGGCGCTTCTTCTAACGCTACTTCTAACGCTGCCGGAGGAAGACCACAGTTGAAGGGTAGCATCACTGGGGGCTCTGGCGGCGGTGGAAATTCGAACAGACGACCTACTCAATCACCCATTGATGGTGCCCAGAGGTAAGCCTTATCATTCTAGAGTATGTTTCTGTCTAGGTGGGAGTGTGTTACCACTGTATCGGCCTCTGCGGTTCAAACCTTCCAGACGGAAACCGTCATTCCCTCGTTTGGGGAGTTGTCAACCTTTATATACCTTCCCACAAGTATTTCTGAACTTTAGTTTTCTCTCATTTGTTCACTCTACTTCTATCTGAATTGTCCCTCTGTCAGTTGAGCCTGTTGTGAGCTCGTCTTCTTATTTTCGGCCGATGTTCATCTTTACTTCGTTCCAGTCCGATTTTTTAGAGCGAGCATTATTTTTGGTGCGTGTTGAATGATAACTGATTTCGGTATATGCAGGCGAAATTCTTCTCACAAGCCCTGGCAAACAAACAACCAACAGCAGAAGTACAACGGAGCTGGAAACCCAGCTTCTGCATCACCCACACCTAGCCAGTCCGCAGCAATGAAAAGCAGGGGCGCCAACGCCTCTTCCGGCGGGGAGTCTGATACTCATGATAAGCATATGCACGATAGAACCCTCTATCTGCTCATGAATCTTGTGGTAAGTATATTTTCTGTGTTAAATTCGCTTTGGAGTCCGTGATGGCTTTTAGCTGTGGAATCTTTTATCTAGATATACAGCCGTTACTTAATGCCCTTAATTAACTCAATTCTGGGTTTTTAGCCGTGCAGTATTGCTAACCGAGTGCTTGTTACACAGGGGAGACAAGTGACAATCACTCTAAGAAACGGCGCACGCTTTGCGGGCATCTTAACTGGTGCAGACACCAAGAGCCACGACCTTGGTGCTACTATGAAGTGGGTTCGCCAAGTCCGAACCCCCTTGGGCGATAACAGCGATGAGAGAGTCGATGAGGTTGAATATGTTGGTGGGGGACTCGAAAAAACCATGGTTTTCGAGCCGAAGGATTTGGTCGATATTTTTGCTGAGAAAATTGCCCTTGGGGAGGACGAAATTCAGTCGCAAAGTGCCCACCAGAATGGTAAGTGCAATTCTGGTGATTTCCCCTACTAATGTCAGTATTGGAACTGACGTGGTTTGAAAAAGGCGCACCTGCAGGGAATTTCCGGACCGATGCTGAGATATCCGGAAATCTTGCCCTACGGGAGCGGGAGTTGCACAGATGGCAACCAGACGAGAAAGCTACTGAGCTTTCCCTCGAGGAAACAAATCAGGGCTCTGGTCAAAGCTGGAACCAATTTGAAGTAAACGAACGTCTATTTGGCGTTAAATCTGATTTCAACCCCGACATATATACTACAAAGCTGGACCGATCACACCCTCTATACCAACAACGGGAGGCTATGGCTGAAAAGATTGCTCGGGAGATTGAGTCGCAGGGCGTCGGTCCAAATATGAACCCACACCTCGCTGAAGAGAGAGGTGTTTCTTGGGGTGACGATAGTGGGAAAGACGAAGAAGATAGATATGGGGCTGTGCAGAGGACTCCTGCGCAAGCAATTCTCCCTCAGATACAACTGCCTAATAACCGTTATACACCACCAGCGCTTCGGGCGCCTACCGCACTTCCAACAGTTCCCGGTGCTCCGCATGATCCTGCTATAATCTCGTCTCAGCTGCTTCGGCCTGAGACCCTACAGCAGAAGCAACATCAACAGCAGCAGCCACCACAGGCTCCTCGGCCTCCGCCCCCACAAATAACGCTCAATCAACAGCCGCCTAATAAGGGTTCTGAAGATGTTTCAGCAAAACCAAAGGAGAAGACATTGCTCCCCGAGACAATAGTACCTAAGAGGGGGCACCCTGTACCACCACCTGTGGATCCTGCTATTCATAGCTCTGACGCCCCTCTTCCCCAAGAAGTGACCGAGAATTTTAAGAGATTCGTCAACTCGGAGAAGGAACGTTATAAGAAAAAGAAGGCTGATCTCGTTCAGAGGGATAGAGCATCGAAATTGGAGGAACTTAAGAAGTTTTCTCAGAATTTTGTCTTGAAAACAGAAGTTCCACAGGATCTGGTGCCAATATTGGCAAAGGATAAGTCAAAGCAGGCGGAGATTGTCGAAAAAGCCAAGCAGAATGTTGCCAAGACAACTAGCACACCCCCCACGGCTGCCGCGCAGCTCTCTCAAACATCGAGGGTTCCTCCTCCGAACAGCTTCGCCGCAAAGAATCCCGAGGAGTTTCAGTTAACACGTCAACAGCTGTTACAAGGATTTCCTCCAACTCAATCGCGTTTACCACGCGGACAGCAGGTTCAGCAGCCACCTCTTAGTACTCGATTACGTCAAATCGCTGTTGACCGACACGCCGGCCATCAAGTGTCTGTAAGGTCTCCCGTACCAATCCCTGAACACCCCCACAGTGTTCCCACAGGCCCTGCCGCTGCGAATATACCGACAGCTCCGAAGTCCACATCACCCTCTTCCGCGGCCCATCTTAGGAACTTGAGTGCAAAAGCCCCGGAGTTCAAACCCAATCCTACCGCTACGTCTTTCACGCCAACTCTAGGCGGCCCGTCCACCAATACCACCCCTAGTCCCACGACTTCTGCGCATGCTCACTCCTCTAGAGCTGCAAGCCCTTCGGTATTCTTTGGCGATAAGAAAGTAAAAACTTCACAGGAGAAGCCATTAATTGCCGATCAGTTCAATCCGTTCAAACGTATGAAGATAGCTGCACCCGCTACACCAACGCCCACAGATGGGCCTGGAAAGAAGATCAGAGGCAATTCCAACGACTATATTGAGCGTGCATTTGTTACAACCCCCACGTGGCCGACTACTGAGCAAAATAAGGACAAGAAGTGGGAACAAATGTTTGCAAAACCGGAGTTCAGTATAGCTAGTTCCATCCATTCGCCTCAACCCCCGCACGTTATGCCTCAACCTCACCATCAGCAAATTCCCTCTCATATACCCCACATCAACCCACCTCCTCATATCGCTCACCAACCACATCCCCACATGTCTCAACATATGGGTATTGTTCCTCCACATTATGAACCAGAACAACATCTACGGCAGATCCCTCCTTCAGTAATGCCATCTCCAAGTTTACACAGCGCAACGGTGGCTCCGTACCAGCAGTCTCCTGTCACCCACCACTCCCAAATCGGGCCCATGTATCCTTCGCATCAGCAAGCGCAGTATGCTGTTCCGAGCGGGCCAGGTGGGCCTGCATATGGTTACTATAGTTCGGGCTTTAGGGGAGCTGCCGGAGCTGGGCCAATGATGGTACAAGGCCACCAACCTATACCATATCCAGCAGGACAATTCATCCATCATCCACATATGTACTCTCCCCAGCAACCTCATGCCTATCTCCAGGGCGCACCTCCTCCGCCCCCTCCCAGTTCTCAAGGATATCCAAGTCCTGGCAGGGGCGCTCCGATTATGATGCACCAAGGATCTCAACAAGGGACGCCTGCTGGCCCGCAAATGATGCAATATACTCTCCAGCCAGGACAAACAGCCCCGATGTATGCAGGGCAAGGACAGCAACAAAGTGAGTTACTCCTCCATGGCCCAAGTTGGTTGCCCCCGCGTCCTCAATCTACTGTCTCCCTTCCTCCTGTCCCTTCTACGCCGGCGGCCAAATTTGCTTATAGTCGTGCTGCTTCCCCTGTTGCTCCATCCCCCCGCATGCGCAATTTACACTTGTCTCCTCAACCCACTTCTGCTACTCCACTTCTTGCATCTCCTTTGGCTACATATACCACCCCTTCAGCAGGTGGTTCGGGCTTGTCGTCATACGCTCTCCAACGGAGTCAGACGGGAAATGCCCCTATGGGCGCCGGAGGGGGGCGTGGCCGAAGGCAGGACAATGGTAGTGGCAGTAGCGGAGCGTATATGGGGCCGATTATGATGATGCCTTCTGGTTTGGTGTACAGTGCATATTCTAACGATGGATCAGTTGGTATGATACGTGGACAGCCACACCCCCACCATCAAAGTGGGCCCCCGCCACCCTTTTACCACGGACCCCATTTCCCGCCCGGGGGTAGGGGCAATGGCTATGGGCATCCACAGCAGCACCAGGGTGGCCAGCATGCTCCTCCCCCTCCCCCACCACCTCAGAGCCAATCACAGCAAGCACCGCCAGAGGGCGAAGACACGAAATGAACACTGTATGATTTGTGGGAATAAGGTATGAAAGGGTTCGGCGTTTGTCTTGTATCTTTGGAGTTTGGATTACAAGTGGGCTTTTTTTCTTTCCTTTACTCAAAAGGACCTCTGATCGTAACTGGTTAAGAGCGGGGGTGAGACATTTGGGGGAAATCTGGGTACTACAGACCGGTTTACCATTGTTTGCCATTCTTGTTTTTATCGATATTTTCGATCTGATTTGATTTGAACAGAATGACAATTCCTTCAAATTCACTGTATGCCTCTCCGTGCTTGTAGGGGTTCCGGGTCCAGGCCTAAATTTTGTATCGCGCTCTAACCATATGTGTGCATCTTTTGTCTTATCTTTTCACTATTTATATTGATGGATACTCATAACATCTCATCTACCCTCTCCCGCTTTTTCTCGCGAACAATTTTCAAACGGGGCAAACGCCGATAGAAATAGGGGGTCTTACGGTTGTGCTTTTTTTTTATCATCACAGACGCTACGCATAAGGAGGTGTTGTGTGGGTGTCGGGGAGTTGTCTTCATTCTTTTTCCTTTTTACTTTTCCTCCTTTTCCCCCACTCGATTTTGGGTGGAAGGAAAGGAAGGCTTTCGATGTGAAAATGGGTTAACGGAGTTTTAAATGGTCACCCCTTTTTTTTCTCCTTTTTCACTGCAGGTGGTGGCCTAAGGTGTTGCTGGGGATGGGGGTGGAAGTGGAATTCAGGTAGACGAGTGGGGGGTGGATGAGGATTATTACTATAGTAGATCCTGTGAGAAATGGAGTTTTTTTTTTTTTTGTTACAACCATGTTTCGGAGTGATTACGGGCGTTGGATATCGAAGTGGTTGGTCGGGCCAGGTTAGGTCAGGGAGCCTCACTCGGTTTGTAGCATCTGGCCATCATAGCTGGGCTGTTCCGTTCATATTGCCGGCAGTAACAGCGGGATATATGGTATTCACGTCAAAGGCAGTCGATACCTAGATCATGTGTTGCGTAGGAAAACATCTCTGAGGTCTTGGTTCTGCACGAATGCATCATTCTAGTTCACCCTTGTTGGCCGGTATCATGAATAGTGACTCGCATGACCAGAACCTGACCTCAATCCGCCGTCCCCCCGTGGGCTGCACATGGTGAGATGCCCCCAACGACCTGTTGTCGCACTGTAGGAATAATAGGCTTTGATGTTAGCCTTGAGTTTTCACGTTGAGCCGCCAAATATACTATATGAATTCTGGATATTGCAACTGGAGATTGGCTTTGTGGCGGCTTGGACGCTTGGGGTGTTTACTGCTATGTAATAGCTGTGGATTCACATGGGTGGTCTATCGATCACCAGCTTACCCACTATTTTGTTCTTCTTGATATGATATATTAGACGGTTACCGATATTGACTCCTACCTCAACTTCTTGTGCACGTGCTATCATAATAAGTTAAGATATGTCTTCCCAACACCCCAATCACAGCAATATCAGACGGGACGAGCAGATTCTCCCTCCGTATTCTACTCTCGAAACCTCCTTGCTAGGGAGGATCCGTTCTCCCGCGCTCTTGGGTCGGTTGTTACGTGTGTTGGTGCCCCCCTCCCCTCCGGGGGTCCCGGCGGTGATGGCCGCTGCTTGCGGGGCGCGGGGTTTGTCATCCCGTATCGTTTCCTGGGGGTGGTGTAGGTGCCTCATCACCTCCTCCTACTCTGTACACCTTCTCCATCAGCACCGCTTCGGACAGTGTGGATTAGAACATGTTCGCAAGGCTCGGGGGGCATTGGGGATATCAACACCCCGGACGCAAGCAGTTATGATACAATATCAATCGCTCTGTCTGGTTGTTTCATGCCAAAAAAAAGGCCCAGATTTGCCGATGAATTACTATCGTGTCCCCAGGCAAACTCCATGATTTCAGCGGCCGAAGATATGAAAGACACATTTTCTCAGGTTCTCTGTGTGCGGATGCGGACTCCCGATTTTGTTCAGTGGGTGAGCGTGAGCAAAGCCCGCCACATTTTTACTAGTCGGAACTAGGTGTGAGCCACGATATTCGACTTTTCGAATTGCTCAATGACTGAAGGACCCAATCTTGCGAGTTCCTCCCAGTTACACCAGACCCCCGTGGATATAAAACGGTGCCCGAAATGGCGATACACCCGAAACGAGGGAAGCTATCATACTCACGGACGTGCCCAAGGGGGGGTCGCAGATTCTATCAGATTATCATATGATATCATGCATCCCCGCGTAACAAAACCAAAACCTAAACCCTCGCATCCCCCTTGCGTCTTCATAAAGTATCACTCACCCTCAAGCCTTCCAAGTGAGCTCGAACGGTCAGTTCCCGTGGCGCATCATACTCAGCACAATTCGACATCGTATGATAAAACCTGATTGTAAGGCGCATCCCAATTTTAGAGAAAGCTAGTCGGTGCGAGTAGATAATCGCTTCTTTAAAGCTAGTCGCATGTCCGTTTCTAGGAGGGGAAAACAAAAATACAGCTCCTTGGACATTTCTTGCTAGACCTATGAAGCGATGCGGTTTAGTTCTGTCGATTCGGGATCGGGGATGCCTTTGCTATGTTATGTCAATAGAGACTTTGCGATCAATATATCCAGAGTCTTTTTAGCTATCTTGGCATGCATATGCCAAGCCTTAGAGTGTCTAGATCTTGATTTGACTTTCCGGCATCAGCAAATCTGTGTGATTTGACCTCTGTCATTTGAAACCTTTAAGACTCAATAAAGACTATTCTGTTTCACAAGATTCCTTACTCTCCAGAACTGTCAGATACTTCAAAATGTGTGACCTTGACCTAGCTTTGTTCAACTTCGAGTTAGGCTTTGCAGAATTGAGAACTTATTAGCATGCATCGATACATACAAATATTCGATTGTGAGGATTAGAGAGAGAAGGAAGACCAAGTGATTTGGAGGAATTGGAGCCTCATCCATGGAGGACATACTGTAGGTAGTATATTTAAATATCTCCAAATCAAATATATATAAAAAGTAGTAACAAAAATAAAATAGGTTTTCAAAGGAAGAAATCAAGAGACTAGTAAATTGTCTCAATATTCTACCAATAATATATGGAGAGAATGGTATTTGTGAGCCTGATGGCATAGCAATATGCATACTGCTGGTAAGACTTGCATAGTCTCATCAGTTATCTGATATTCATTTACAATTTGGTTGGAAACTGGAGTGAGTTTCACATATTACCAATACTCTTTTAAAATTTATCTATAAGTAATGGAAGCATTTACTATCCTTTGATACTGAAAGAATAACACTTTAATGCCTGGCAGCCTATACGATTGTGATTAAAGAAAAAAATGCACTGTTAAATAGCTGTTGGGGCTTTGTTGATAGGATATTACAACTAATTGCTAGGCTAATTTATGGCCAAGAGTCGGTTTATAACAGGTGGAAAAGAATACATTGTCCAAAGTATCATTTATATAGACTAGTGGAAGGTTGAATTTATGATTCTACTGTGTGGAAAGAGAGTAGGGTATCAGAAATATTAAATGTTCATGCTTATGCTCCCAACTGATCACCATTACAAGTATATTGGGATAGAGCATATGGTATTAGTGATTATTTAATATCACAATTTAGTAGTACCAGTATTATAGCAGATGAGCGAGCTTGGAATAAATCAATGTCATGAGTTTGAATTATTGTAGAATGGTGCTTTAAAGAGGTTTTACAACTCTTTACTGCTCTGGACTTTAATGAACTCAATGTCTTTTAGTTTCTCCTCTTGGACTACAATATTCTGTTGCAGTTCTTCTTTACAATACTCATATTTGTTTATACAATCCTCAAATTCCTCAATACTTTATATGAGAAACCAAGAAACAACTTAGTCTATCTAACCCAAATGACGACCCTGTCCTTCTCCAACCTCCTACTTTAGTGGAATATTTTTACTTTGAAGAATAATAATAGAAAGTATGTAACTATTTCCTAAAGTAATCTGAAGTCTCTGAGTCCTAAGATCTAAAGTAGTCCTATATAGTCCTCCTAGTTTTCCACTATTTTACACAGCTTCCATTAGCATTCCACAGTTTCTCACAGTCTTTAGTGGTTGTCCACAACCTCTTACAGCATCAATCAGTCCTTCATATTCTTCTACAGCCCTCTACAGCCTTTGATGGTCTCTTCACATTTTCCACAGCCCCTAGCAGTTTACCTCCACATTCTCTACAGCCTTTTGCAGTCCCCATATCTGTCTTTACCTCAGTCTCCTACTGTTTCTGATACCTTTCTACCATTCCCTGCTATCTCCAATAATTCTCCACGGTTTCACAGAGTTCTAGTCTTAAGCAAATAAGTGTGGAAGAAAGTAGGAAGAGAGTAAGTAAGTGAACTAGGTACTGGAGGTGAAAGGTAAGTCTGTCGAGCCTGTTCTTATTGGTTCTAGGCCTTCTCAACTACTCTGAGAATAGTATTTGCTCTAATCACTACTCTAAGAATTTGACTGACCTTTTCCTTCATCAAGTTGCACGAAAATCCACCAGTTGTATGCTTTGACAACAGTTTATACCTGTACAAATTGTGCCTATAAATGGTGACTTGAACAGACTTTTATATACACTGTAGTACATAGAAGTAAGCGAGTAGTTGAGGAGCAATTAAGCAGACGTGTGAGAGAGCGATTGAGTAAGTATATGAGTGAGTGAGCAAGTGATTAAGTAGGCAGGTGCATGAGTGATTGGCTGAGTAGATGACAGAGAGATTCGGTATGAAGGTGGATAAGTAATTGAGTAGATGGATAAGTGGGTAAGCTAGAAATTAACTCAACTGAGTAAGTAAGAAAGTTATCCAGCGAGCAAGGAAGAGTGTGACAATAAGGACAAGAGCTGATTAGAGTCAATAGTCAGGTAGAGGAGTTAGAGGAAACTTTAAAGTATAGGAGAAGGCATGGAGGTACCAGAAATATTCTAGGAGTGACCACAAAAGCTTGTTAAGAATTGAATAAAAACTTGGATTGACTCATTGGTACACTGATTGCTTTCAATTAACAAATCCATTTTTCTTCCTAATTCTTACTATATTACAGTATTTTCTCTCTCTTTAATCTCTTATTCCTCCACCTGCTTTTTCAAATCCGTTGCCTTCTCATATCGGTAATAATCTATAACCCCAGCAACCTCTTTTGTAAACAGATTTTGTCCTCGTTTTTTTTGGTTCCAGTAGTTGTGGTGACCCAGGATTACTACCACTATTGCTAGTATTAGGTAAAGTTAATTCCTTTCTCTTTGGTCTGTCAAGTTCCAAAGTTCTTTTTCAGACAAGTCTTTCTAGTGAACTCTGCTATAACTTCTTTCCATCTGTAATCTTCTTTGACATCTTTTCCTTTGCTGTCTTTTTAATTTCTGTCTTTTTGGAAAGAGACTTATAGCAGAGTTGAATATTATCCAAATGTTCAATATGTTCTATAACTTCTTCATTGGTTCCATTCTTTTGCTTTGAATAAAAATACTTCCTCCTTTTTTTATTTTATTACTTTTATTTAATTTACAGTTTAATATTATAAAATAAACTTTAAAATTACTAATCTTATACTATATAATAAGTTTTTCTATTAGGTCCTTACAAAAAGCCCAGTACTGACTCATTCTATACTGAGCAAGATTTTGAAAAACTTCCTCCTAACAGCTTTCTTTGCAACCAATCTTACTTAAAATTGGATCATTTACTTGTACTTGATGTGTAAGAGCCCGATCTTCCCATAGCTACCAAGCACCACTACCTTTTCACTTTCCTAGTGGTAGTATTTGTTGGTCTGTTTCCTGAGTGTCTGTTT